GAGCACTTGCTTTCTGGGTATATAAACCACATCAGGCTTATCTCTGCACGCACTCCTGACTCCCATTTGAAGATATTTCATTAACTCTGCGCGCTGTCTTAACGCTGGCAACACATTCAGCCCCCCTCCAGTCTAGGTAAGCGCACTGGATGCTCCAGGCAGTTTATACAGTATTTTCTCTTGTTACAGCTTAATAGACGCTGCTTATTTTCTGTTACTGCTGATTCATGCACGTGAGCGCGCACTTTGGTCTTTAAATTAATAAAACGCTGATCTTAATGTGTTTTAAATACAAAAATGATGCAGGCAGGTCTATGTGTTTCAGCCTACAGTAGCTGGTGATCATTACGCGTTCACGTGGGCAGACTGTGCTCTTTTCAGCATTATCATTGCGTGACACTTAGAGAAAGAGGCCTTCACCTTCACACTCAATTGCTCAATCGGGAGAATTGAGGTGTCATCTGGAGATGACTAAGAGTAAAATTAAAGAAAATATTTTAATACGACAGATGTTCTTGTCCAAGAGTCAACAAAAGGCGCATACATTGACCCCAATGATGCAAAAAAATTTAATTTAATTTTTAAAAAAAAAGCTTCCACAAATGATGCGCTCACAAAGTTACACCAAAGCCGAGCCAAATTCTGTTCGCGAAGATAACATCTCTGTGCTTTACCTGTCAGAAATCCTGCGTTTGGTCCTCGTATGATCAAATGTTTCTTTTCTGTGCACCTATGAGCACCGATACTGGCAATCATAAGTTGCCTAATTGTAAGCACCCCCTGTTGTTTCTTAATTTTGCCGGTAGAGACCGCTAGAGCTCTACAGATGTCAACAGCTGTTAACGTTATTACTGCTCTCGCACACTAGCTGCTTAACAAGGAGGACAAGTTGTCTGTACTTGTGCCATGTACAGCGGGCCAGATCAAGTTTTCGTGGAGAGGATGATTTACTTATTTATTTATTTTATTTTTGTTTATTTATTTGTTTAATTGTTTATTTGACAATAATATTGTTCGAGGCTTTACAAATTGTCACTTTGGATTTATGTGAAGAAGCCTTGGAGATTTCTAACTATTCTCCCTCCTCCCTGCCGGTGTCAGAGCGATGTTGAAATGGGAAGTGATTAAAAAATAATAAACCCCCTTTTAGCAATTTGTCTTACATAGAAAAAGATTAAGGCGAATGGGAAAGCGTGGCATGAAATTCACCGTTACAAATAAACTGGTGGTTTAACAAATGAAGGCATCTCCTCGGGGCATGGGCGCCTCGCTATAATCTCGCCATGACATGTTTAATCATTAGAGAAAAGGAGACGAATAAAGACTTTGTGCCCGGGGCGGGGGGAAGGTGGAAGGATTTCTGTTTCTGTTTTCTTTTCTTTTTTTTCTTCTTCTTCTTTTTTTTTTAAGAAAAAAAAAGGAAAGAAATCGGGCTCCAGAATGATTTCTGCCCTCGAGCCAAGTCTCCCCGGGCCACGGCTTAGCCTCCATAAATAAACTGGACCCGGCTCTACCTGAATATTATATATAGCCTTTTAATCATAGAGGGAGGAAATCGGTCTTGTCAGTCTGTACATTTATCATAGGCACCCTGAGGCAGGCGGGGTTACCTTTATCAAAGACTACCTCACTGCCTGAGGCATCCGAACACGCTGAAATTCAGCGATTAAAGGAAAGCAATGATCAACATTATTATGGATTCTCCTGCGGCATTCTTATTTGTGCATTCAATCGAAAGATTTATTTAATCAACAATATAAAAAGCCCTTTCTTTACTTATTTGGGAACAATCGTGGGCATGAATTTTTAGGAGGGAATTATAATTAATCAGACGGGGCCCGTTTTTTTGGGGTTCATCCGAAAAATTAATTGTTTTTGGATGAATCCATTCTGTCATACTTTTGATTGCAAAGCTGGGATCAGAAAAAAAATGTAATGAGCTTTAATAATTAGGCAGCCAGCTCTGTAGCATATAATATTAAAATGGAAGAACTGGCAAAACTGGTGATAGCATAATTACAGCATCGGTGATCACATAGAGAAAAAAGGTTAGTCTTGTGCACGCACTATACGCACAAAAGTCAAATGAACATCTCAGTCAGAATAGTGTATCGTTCTGGTGTCAGATCTAAAGATTTAATGTCAACCGGACTCAAGTAAGCAGGTGATAGGAAGGAGCAGCACTGCGCCCTGCATTGTCCTTTAAATCCTGCTGCATCCACAGCTCAGAAGCCATTCTTTACAATATCTTCTGTGCGCATTAACACCCCCAATACACACACATTTCACACAGTCCTAACTGGGGATAGTGAAACAATGGTCTCTAAGTGGATTTAACATTTTTTGTTTCAACTTTTTGACTCTAAACAGAGGATTCTTATTTTTGCGAGTTAATATTTAAAGAAACACAAACCAAAAGCGTGGAAAAAAAATACAAAAAGCAAACACAACAACAAAAACTACAATAAATAGATCATGACTAGAAAATAAAAGTCTAACTTGGACAAAATGCACGACGTATTTTTACACTTTGTTTTTTTACAAATAATTTTACATAAATTTAGCCTGAATGTGTCCTGAGCTAATTTACTGGACTGTAAACATTTCCCGGTGTTGGTCCCGTTAACTCGTCCAGCTGTGCAAAAACAGTCTGCGTACTGGCCACTGTCAGAGTGAAAAGGCAAGCGGGCTGTTTGAACTACCTGTGAAAGTAAACAGGTAAACACAGAGCGATAGGCTCTCCAAGTGGAGTACGTCCACTTAGCCAGTGCACATTTACCTCTCCTTTTCCGAAACCCACGGCTCAATTGATCAAATAGTATATCCCCAGCAACTGACCACATTCTGCAGCCCAGTGCGCACCCATGCACCGTCACCAGACCTACTGTGACTCCCCCTCCCCGTGTCAGTGTGCCACCCACGGCAGAACCAAAGCAGAATGACACGGATGGTAACCCTGCGTGCTCAAACATACCATAATTTGGCTCCATACACTTTTAAGCCACTGAATAAATCTCAACGAAATAATGTTGTTGCATGGGCCAAAGTCAGTTTCCTGATGAGGTGCGCATAAAGGCTGCAGCCTGGGTCATTCCTCCGTGGTGCGTAAAGCTTTCTGGGTGTCTCCTGTGGGCTGCTTGTCCCTTCACATGTCGGATTTAGCTGTGCAGCATTACTTGGTGGATCAGGTCAGTAACCTCTCTCTCCCTTATAGAGGCTCAGGCGCAGCTCCAGTTTGTCCATATAGCCCGCTCAGCTCAATGGAGCCTTTGTGGGACGCAGAGACTTGTGATTAATTCTGCCAGGCTAGTGAAATATTTACCTCAGGCCTGTGCACCAGGCGCGCTTTTATATGCACCCAAAATCTTAGAAAGGACGTTCCAAGAAAGAATGAGCGAAGTAAATTTTTACCTAGACTGTATCTTATTT